CTGCTGCTTTGTGTATGATAACCAAGTTTCAAACACATGAATGTTTCTAGGTTTTAAGATGTGATTTAATAAAAAGAGATTTCTGGGAAAGCAGGTCTTCTCTCATTCGGGTTTTTTTTGTCGTTGTTCTCTGGCTGAGTTTATAGACCCAGGAAATGCCACTTGGCAGATGCTTTGCTGTGCTGGCAGGCAAGGGCGATGCAGGTGCTGGGGCATCTCTGAATGCCAGCAGCCAGGGGAATACTGAAAACTCAAGAGCAGAGCTCTGGAGGTGCGAGAGGCCTGGATGAGGGCCATGCCCTGGGAATCAGCACAGCACAAGGTTGTTAAAAGGGCAGAAAGGTAAAAACTCTTGATACTTTAAACAAGGGACTATCTGAGAGAGGCAAATCCAGTGGTGGGGATAGTATGAGGTGATTCACAGTTCCAGCACTGTCTGCTGCTTAGCGAGGAGTAGGGACTGGATCACTAAGGAACTTACAGAGCATTAAGCATTACACCTTTCCCCGGCAGGAAGGCCAATCTCTGAGCACTGTCCTTCAAACAGAAACAGAGCCCTGGAGAAATTCAAGGGAGGCTAAAGGCCTGGTAATTCCTCTGGGGAAAACAGCCAAGCTCCAAAATAAAGCACATCCCCAGGAGGGCAGAAGGCATTGAATTCCCTTAGGCTGCTTTCTTTGTTGCAGGTCTGTTTGACTTCATACCCAAAGTGAGCAGGTTTGGCTTAAACTTCCAGCTTCAGTTTTTTCCCTTTATCTCCTACACTGACAGTCACCTGCATGTTCATCTGTTAAAGGTGGTAACTGCAGCCCCTCTGAGCTCAGAGGCAGAGCAACACAGGCTGGGCAACTCTGTCATTTAAGGCACTTTTCTTCAGCACTGGGATTTCTTGGTTTTTGTTTCTGCATCTGCCCCAGTTGGAGACTTTTTTTCTCCATGTGCCACCCCAGCGGGGTGGGATGTGCAGAATCCACCTCAGCAGCCTGGCAGGTGACAGAAATCACTTTTAACCCCTTCCTACTGCCTGTGCAGACAGCTTCTGGCCAGAGACCTGCCTGCTGCTCTCCCTTGAGGACTTCGCAGAGTCATCGGTGCCCCGAGTACTGAGTATTCTTTATTCTGGAACCATTCCACATCAGCACTGTTCTGTTTTTAAATTAGCTTCATAGGGTACAAAGTGAAATTTCTGCAGAAGCCCAGTTACAATGGGTTATTTTTACCTATTGCCTTCTTCCCTCTCCCTTCGTGCTCTGTTGCATATGGTGGTGTGATGGACACAAACCCAGAGCGGGCGGAGTTTCACTCTGCCCTGTAAAGGGGTGTGGAACTAAGATGTGTTGCGGGGGTTTAAGGTGAATTCACGCATCTCTGAGTCCTGCTGGGCCCTGTTCTTCCCCTGTTCTCTTGTCACCTGGCTGTACTTGGGGTTGCCCCAGCAGATCTTACCACTGCCAGCCCTGCCTCCTTCATAAGCAGTGTGTGCCGCCTCTAGTACCAACGTGTGTCGTACATGCTGCGCTACTGCCAAGCCGCGCTGCCGGGGCACTGGGAACTCACGCCTGTGCTATGTGGTGGCACTGTGCCATCACACTCTCCGGGTCCTGTCCACTGCCATCATCACACCTGGGTTTTGTAATTGAGCATTAGCATCTGTGCCACAATGTCGGAGCTGAGGGGGATTCACAGGAGGAGCCTCTTGGTAGCAGCACTTGGGCAGTAGTCGAGTGAGCCGTGGGTGTAAATAGAGCGATGCCGGGGATTAGCTCCGAAGCCCTTGCTTGCCAGCTGAGTTTCACTGTCCAGTCCTTGCGCTGTTTCACTGGCTCAGCCTAGGAAAGAAACAGTTGACAGAAATGATAGAAGGCTCCCAAATCTTGACCGGCAGGGGAGGAGATGAATAATGGCTGGATTTATTTTTTTTGTTATAAAGGCAGGCGGGCATGCAGCGAAACTAGCAGATGTCAAGTTCAATCCCCACAAAGGGAGGCGTTTTCTTTGCGCCAGGTGCAGATAAACTGTGGGATTCATTATTTCAGGATTTATGGGCTTTACACAGGCTCACAAACCAACCAGACAAGACCATGAAAGAGAAATCCATTGAGATATCCCAAATACAAAGGCACATTGTTGGCTCTGTACGTGCCTGAGCCATGAGTCACCAGAGGCGGGGAAATGTCACTACCAGCTTGCCCGGGCTTTATCCTCAACCCAGGGCACCCGCTGCAGGCCCCAGCGAGGGCCAGGATGCAGGACAGCACATCATGGACCTGTGCCTCATCTGAGTACAGCAGGTTTTGTGTAAACTTTAAACCGCCCTTATGTTATTTAAGCTGAATCATTCCCATTCATTCCATTGAGCTCTGGTTTGCTGGCTCGCAGCAGAGCAGCTCCTCAGGGCACACAGCACATCTGAGCATCGCACAGCTCCCAGCACGTGGGCAGCTTTGGCTAGAAAATACTGGTTTTCAGTAGTATCGTTTCCAGGTATCGTTTAAAGAAGGTGCAATTGCTCTGTTCTGGCATGGGAGTGCAAAGGTAAGAGCCTTATCAGCAGGATACGGTGCCCCTTCCCATTAAACACACCTGTGTTTTCAGTGGCCAGGCTGGAGCGGGGTGGAGTTGTGCACGTCGGGACAGCCCGGCATGCTGGGGTGCGGCTCCGCAGCTCCCAGGCAGGCTGGGTCCTTGGCAGGTTTTTACCAAAGGGTTATTTACGTCACAACGTGCCACGTCCCCCGGCCTCCTGGGCTGAGGGTTTTGGCACATGGCGTTATCAGAGATGTGGGAAGTCCCGAGCCGTTGTGCGGCCCTTTCCTGTTTGCACAGACTTCCCGAAGAAACATGCTGGCGGTTGATAACAGGCACTGCCTGCAAATAACGCCGCAGCACCACTTTTCCCCACGCTTTTGTGCCCAACAAGCAAGCCATGACTGAAGAGCTGGTGGGAAAAATGTTTTCCCGCTCCACTGCCATGTGCCATGGAAACCCCTGCTTGTCTCTTCCAGAGCTCTCCTTAAAACGCCTCCCTGACGGGCCCAGCAAAACGTTCCTCCGGTGCCAATGGCTCGTTCCTTGCCCGCTGTGCCCAGACACCTCCTCTCCTCAGGCTGCAGGCGGGCTGATGGTGGGGTGACCCCGAAAGGTGTTTCTGGCTCCTGTCCTCCTCGGCCGGCACCATGCGGGCCAGCCCGGGGTGCTAAACGGACGGGGGGGAAAGAGCAGCTTGGAGTGGGGTGGGGTGGGTTGGTGACCGAGGCTCCCGGCAGGCGGGAGCCCCCCCGGGGCCTGCCCCAGCTGCG